ACACTCCATAACCTTTTCTAACTTTGGATCTAATGATTTTACTACAATTTCATTCAATACTGATGCATATTTATCTTTGTACTGGCTAATAATTATTTGATTAATTAATATCCAAAAGTGAGAATGTATCGTGATGATTAAGAAGTCATAAATAAAAAAGTTGAAAAAAAAATCACATCATATAAAATTACATAATAAAAAGGATACCAAACTTTCAAAGAACTTTTAGAAGATCCTAAAACATTTCCTTGCTTTTGTTGTGGTGCTGAAGAATGATATTGAAGCGCATAAACAGAAACAACTATACATGAACCTTCAATATGAAACTGAATCACCAAGTCTTCAGGCAATTTGGAGCTGAACAACTACATAATAATAAATTCATTACTTAATCATAAAATATAATCTAGAACATCTTTAAAATTACCTGAGGATCACAAATTTTATAAGGAAACAATTTTTCTTCATTTGCACAAGTAAGAATAAATTGGGCATTAGATATATTTTTAAGAACTGTATCCAATAACTTGTTCGAATGAAATATCGTAATATTGCAAATTAATTTTTATTTATAGATACTGTATATAGACAAATTATGAAGTTTACCTTGTAAGATTTTCTTTAGTAAGCAAACTATTTGAACATTCTAATGTATCTAAAGCTAAAGTGATTAGTTTTGGGCGTCAATCAACTTAAGATTACATAATAAACCCACAAGTTTCATTAGAATACAAAATTAAAATTTTAACATTTTAGAAATTTTTAAAACTAAGAATTGCATACCTGTTCAATAAAATAGGGCTTCTTGGGATTAACGGTCAGCTTTATCAAATTTCCACAATTATAATTGGTGAATTTTACTTGCAACTCCTACGATTTATCTCGTAATTTAGTTTAATAAATAAGAAATAATGTTGAGAGAAATCATTTGCAAATACGATACGATACCCCTTTTATAATATCACTTCCATCTAATGTGACAATACATCACTACTAGAGAAACAGAGAACAAGAACGTTAAAGACAAAGAATTTTCATTATTCAACAATTAAGACCAAATAAATACATATTAGATAAGATGGCCAATGTACTTGTTCCTACAGCATCTAAAGTAAATAAAACCATTAATACATATAGTAAATAATTCCTTAAAACAATCAGAAATAATAATAATTAATTGCCATCATGTTCTGGTAATTTCATAATCGCCTCACATATCTATATATTCATAAAAGTATATATATATATTAACTCTTTATTCATGACTTAAATAGCAGACTTATATATAAATAATACAATGGTTACTTTTAATGCCTTCTTTAAATTATAAAGCGCATCTGGCAACTGAGTATCTAATAACCATTCTAATTCTTTCTTCTGTTACAAAAAAAAATAAAAAATCAGACACATACATTTAGAATAAAAAATATATAATCAAACAATAAACAAAACGTATAATAAATTTGTTACTAAGACTGCTTCTTCTTGAATAACTGCATGCATTTCATCATTATTAGAGTGAAGCATGTG